GACCTAATACCTATAGTAGGGCCAATTTCTATTGCACCCTATAGGATGTCACCTGTAGATCTTGTTGAACTAAAGAAACAATTAGAGGAACTTTTATCAAAGCAATTCATCAGACCTAGTGTGTCACCTTGGGGAGCACCAGTGCTCTTTGTCAAGAAAAAAGATGGAAGTATGAGGTTGTGTGTGGATTATAGGAAACTAAACAAAGTCACCATTAAAAATTAATATCATTTGCCTCAGATAGATGACCTTTTAGATCAGTTGAGAGGAGCCACAATATTTTCTAAAATAGATTTAAGGTCAGGATATCACCCGATCAAAATTAAGACTGAAGATATTCCAAAGACAGCCTTTAGGACTAGGTATGGACATTATGAGTATCTAGTGATGCCTTTTGGATTGACAAATGCTCCAGCAGTATTTATGGATTATATGAATAGAATTTTCAGACCTTACCTAGATCAATTTGCAGTGGTGTTTATAGATGATATTTTAATATATTCTAGAAATAAAGAGGAGCATAAGGAACATTTAAGAATAGTTTTACAAATTTTAAAAGATAAGCAATTATATGCCAAACTTTCAAAATGTGAATTCTGGATGGAAGAAGTTAAGTTCTTAGGGCATGTTATTTCAAAAGAAGGAGTGACAGTTGATCTTAGTAAAATTGAGGCTGTAATACACTGGGAGAGGCCTAAGACTATCACTGAGATCAGGAGTTTTCTAGGATTGGCAGGATATTATAGAAGATTTATTAAGAGATTTTCACAACTAGTGTTACCTTTAACTAGGTTAACTAGAAAGGGAGTTCCTTTTGTTTGGACACAAGAATGTGAAGATTGTTTTCAAGATTTAAAGAATAAGTTGACATCTGCACCAATTTTAATAATCCTTGATCCTTTAGGAAAATTTGAGGTTTACAGTGATGCATCTAGAAAGGGTTTAGGATGTGTCTTAATGCAAGAAAGGAAAGTTGTAGCTTATGCATCAAGACAATTGAGACCTTATGAGGAAAATTATCCAACTCATGATTTAGAATTGGCTGCAGTAGTTTTTGCCCTTAAAATTTGGAGGCATTATTTGTATGGTGTCAAGTTTGAGGTTTTTAGTGATCATAAGAGTTTTAAATATTTATTTGACCAAAAAGAATTGAATATGAGGCAAAGGAGGTGGAGGGAATTTTTGAAAGACTATGATTTTGAACTTAAATACCATCCAGGAAAAGCTAATGTGGTAGCTGATGCTTTAAGCAGAAAATCTCTCCACATGTCACTTTTAATAGTCAAAGAAATGGAATTGTTGGAAAAATTTAGAGATATGAAATTATCTGTGACTGTATTGCCTCGAAGTTTGGGTATTAGTGAAATAAAAATAGATAATGAGTTGATAGATAAAATTAGGAAAGCTCAGCAGGAAGATTCTAGTTTAGAAAAATCTTTGAAACAGGAAGGATTTACCAAAGGGAAAGATGATTTGGTGAAATTTCAAGGAATGATTGTTGTACCTAAGAAGGAAGAATTGATGAAAGAAGTTTTGAATGAGGCACATAGCAGTAAGTTCACAGTTCACCCTGGTTCCACCAAAATGTATCAAGATTTAAAAAAGACATTTTGGTGGCTAAGAATGAAAAAGGATATTGCTGAGTATGTTTCAAGATGTTTAGTTTGTCAAAAAGTGAAAATTGAACATCAAAAGCCTTCAGGATTACTTCAATCATTAGACATACCAGAATGGAAGTGGGAAAGTGTAGCCACTGATTTTGTGATGGGTTTACAAAGAACCCAAGAGGGATACGATGCAATTTGGGTAATCATTGATCGATTAACCAAATCTGCTCATTTTCTACCAATTAGGGCTCAATATTCTATTGAGAAGTTAGCCCAACTATATATAAAAGAAATTGTCAAACTTCATGGGGTACCTCTAAGTATTGTATCAGATAGACACCCTAGATTTACTTCTAGATTTTGGGGATGTTTACAGCAAGCCTTTGGAACTAAGTTGAGACTTAGTACAACATATCATCCTCAAACTGATGGTCAAACTGAAAGAACCATTCAAACTTTAGAGGATATGCTGAGAGCTTGCATCCTTGAACAAGAAGGTAGTTGGGGTAGATACCTGCCATAATAGAGTTTGCTTATAATAATAGTTACCACTCTAGTATTGGAATGGCTCCATATGAGGCACTCTATGGAAGAAAGTGTAGATCTCCAGTGTGTTGGTATGAAAAAGGGGAAAACAGTTGTTGGGACCGGAATTTGTCCAAGAAACCTTGAGACAAATTCAGATGATAAAGGAAAACCTTGAAAAGGCACAAAGCAGACAAAAAAATTATGTTGATAACAGGCGAAAAACTGTCTTTTGAAGAAGGAGAACATGTCTTTCTTAAACTTTCTCCTACCACAGGTGTAGGCAGAACCCTCAAAGTTAGGAAACTGAGTCCTAGATATATTGGTCCATTTCAAATACTCTGAAAAATAGGGTCAGTTGCTTATCAACTTGCTCTTCCACCTCATCTTTTCAATCTTCACAATGTTTTTCATGTTTCTCAGCTTAGAAAGTATGTCCCAGATCCCTCTCACATTCTTGATATAGACTCAGTACAAGTTAAAGAGAATCTTACTATTAAGACCAGACCTGCTCAAATCCTTGATACAAATTTAAAGCAACTAAGAAAAAGGATAATTCCGTTAATTAAAGTGTGTTGGGAAGGACTTTTACCACAAGAGGCTACATGGGAAAAAGAAGGAGAATTGCGACAGAGTTTCTCGAAATTTTTCTTATGAGGTATGTCTAAATTTTGAGGACAAAATTTTTAATTAGGAGAGGGGAAATGTAATATTTAAAAAAAAAAAATATATATATATATATATATATATATATAGTAATAAATAAAATATCTAAAATATCTTAGATATTTTGATAAAATATCTTAGATATTTATAAACGTAATGATTAAGATTCCTTAGATATTTATTAACGTAATGATTAGATTCCTTAGATTTTATAAAAAGTAATGATTACATTCCTTTTTTAAAAAATATATAAACCCCCCCCCAAAGTTGCGTAGAGAGGAAGGAGAGAAAGAGAGAGGGAGAGAGAAAAAGAAAGAAAAGAGAGAGAAAGAAGGAAAGAATGAGAGAGAGAGACAGAGAGAGAAAGGGAGAAAGAGAGAAGAAGAAGAAGAAGAAAAAGGGAAAGAAAGAAGAAAAAGAAAAGGAAAGGCAATATTGGGAGTAAGCAACTCATTCTCTCCTTTATTTTTAGATATTTTAAAAAGCTATGTTGGTTCTATTTTTTTTCTATGTTGTGTTGAAAGTTGGTATTTTAAAGTTATTTCTTTAAAAGTTGTGAAGATGTCGTTACTCTGCCAAAATTATTTTATGAATTCTTTCTACTCCTTTACTTTACTTTCTATCTTTAATTTTGTGAGTATTGATAAAATTATAACAAGATTATAGAACTAAAAGATTCCTTTGGTACCAAACGGACAGTAACAGAATATGTAATCTTTTACTGAGTGATTCTGATGTGGCTGACCCACAAGGGGATCAGAATGGTTATAGGGTAAGGGACGCATTATCATGGCTTGAGCTCCGCCATACAGAACCTTTCACATACAGAACCCACAAAGTTTGGGCGCTCCAGAATTGAGCATTAGTCATTTCAGTTAAAGATTACACGTTCCTATATGTGTATCTAGAATCCACAAAGTTTGGGTAGAACCCACAAAGGTTTGGGTATGACTGAATGAAGAACCCACAAAGGTTGGGCTTATATTTATTGTTTATGATATTATTTTCTTATTATAAATTTTATTATGTGAGAATGATATTTTCCACTAAAGTGGTTGGATTGGTTATAGTTCGAAAACCCCAATATTACTGAGATTTATCTCACGTGTGTTTGTTTTTATGTTAACTTTTTCAGAGTAAACAGACCAGTATATGTAGCTCTGGAGTAAGATAAAGTACTATGGCTAAAGACTTTGAAGACTATATGGAGCTTAGTGGAGCAAATTAATAAAAAGAAAATGTTTCTCTTTAGTTTGGATTATGATGTATTTCTGATGTAATAGTGAACTTGACTTCTGTATAATTAAAGATTATAAATATTTTGTCATATGCCTTATTTCTTATCTGTTGCGTTAGAATTTCACTTAAGAATTAATGTAATATCTTCTATCCTAGTCAGTTATAAAGGATGTTACAAAAGTGCCCATGAGTAAGTACTCTTTTGTGGGGGAATGGATCTTTTATGCTTCATAGTATATTTATACTAACACTTTTTTTTATTACTATTTTACTACTACTTTAATTATAGTTGAATCAAATTTTTGGGCTAAAGAGAGCAAAAAGAATTACTGAAAAGTTTAATTCAACAATGATTAGAGTAGTAGTAAATTAATAGTAGAAAAAAGTGATAGTATAAATATCCTACTTACTCTTTTAATATGATTAAGTCAAATTGAAAATTCTTAATTATTTATTATATTAATAGTTATAATTTTAATGATAAAAATAGTAAAATAAAAAATAAAAAATAATTATTTTCATTGTTGATATTAATTTATTAATGTTTGATAACAAAAACATAATATCAATTATCTAAAAATGGAAATTTTTCTCTTATTTGAATTTAGCTTTTAATTTACATAAAATTTAATTTATATTTTTATGTAAATCCAATTTTATTTTTATTGTTTTTTGGGGTAGGATGTAGCCAGATCCGCTGCACCCAAGATTTGTTAGATGCAATGGGAAGCTTTCTGGACCTCATAGGTTCTAGAATGTTAGCCTGTTCTGCCGTTATACGTGACGCCACTCGCGCGCTTTTCGTTGCTAATCTTCGCTCGTAAAAGAAACAAAATAAATAGATGTTACCTCTAACCCTAAACAAACCCTCATCCCAAAATCTCTGTAGTTTTGGATTCCATATTTATTTTTTTGGCATTGTGTTCATACATTGTTGTTTTGTTGATTTTATTGAGAACAAACATGTCAGAACTCCAAGTTGATGATCAACTCATTCAGTTAAGGGAAATTTTTGCAAGATTTGACATGGATTCAGATGGAAGCCTAACAATTTTAGAACTCGCCGCGCTCCTAAGATCGTTGGGGCTCAAGCCCTCAGGTGACCAAATTTACATGTTGTTAGCCAACATGGACTCAAATGGAAATGGTTTTGTGGAGTTTGATGAATTGGTGGATGCCATATTGCCTGATATGAGTGCACAGATCTTGTTGAATCAAGAGCTTCTCCTTGGTGTTTTTAAGTGCTTTGATCGTGATGGCAATGGTTATATATCAGCAGCAGAGTTAGCTGGTGCAATGGCCAAAATGGGTCAGCCACTTACGTATAGAGAGCTAACAGAGATGATCACAGAGGCTGATATTGATGGTGATGGTGTAATTAACTTTAATGAGTTTGCCACTGTAATGGGTAGGTCAGCCTCTGAGTTCTTAGGCTTTGCATTGTGGTGACCACAGGTTCATCATAGTAAAAAAAGGTTGTGAGAAAGAGTTTAAACTTCATAAAGTTTTTTTTTAGATAATTTTATTTAATATTCATCAAAATACACTAATAAAAGTGTGTGAGTCTATATATATATATATATTTTTTTTTCTTTCTCTTGTTTTCATATGAATTCACAGGACCTTATATATATTTTGATAAATATTAGATAAAATTATTTAATTAAATTTAGAAACTTTAAACCCTTTTGACAATTATAACATGTTTCTTTCCTTTTTGTCATACCAAAATGGCTGGGAGGAAATATTCTTTGACTAACTGTTAAATTCTTCAATTCTTTATTTTTTTTCCTTCAAATGAGGCATGTACTATATTTTTTTTTCAATTTTTTTTTTTTTTACTTTTTGGGTTCTATAGTATATGTTTAGTGGGTTGCTGGAAATATGCTACATCATTGAGAATTTGAGGGGAATGATACTGTATTAGAAAAAAATGAACAAAGGAATCAAATAAGGATATTTTGGTTTCTCCTCACAATGTGGGACCGATAATCTTGATTTCTATGTGCCGGTGGAGAAATTCTTATTTTAGCTACCTTTCAAAGGACCCTTCTTTTCCCCTTGTGGGCCTTGTGGAGGAGGAATATTTAAGGAAGAATTTTTTCCATTTTTCCTACCAAAAAAAAAAAAGTCTTTGGTTTGGAAGAAGAGTTTACCTAACTCTCTGTGATTTGTGGGATGAGTAAATTAGCTATTGTGTATATCTTACTGCTGGATTTGCTTATCTTATCTGAAAGATAATTCAGGACATCTTGTCTGTATTTTTCTTTTCCGATTAAAGCTTGATGGCATGTGATTCATATCCTACAGGACGATCAATCCTTGATGCAAAAATTTTAGTATGAGATGTTACCCCTTCATAAAAATAACTAGAACTAACGAACGCACTTACCAGAATAGACTATTTGAACTTACCAATTATTTTTATGTCTATTCTCATAAACCACAGTTTTTCATTTCCCACAAAAGAACATAATCAACCCATATAGCACTATTTCTTCCTTTATGGGCTCACACATGTTGTATTAAATATGACTTCCAGAAAAAACTGCCTCTTAAGCAATGGACTTTGTGTGTAAAGTAACTATGACAGAATATCACGCAACTACAAGGAATTAATATATTCTCTTGCGACTTAGGAAGTCTCAATATGAACCATTTTAGTGTTGATTTTTAACTGAAAAAGTACATAAAAGGGAGCATGAAAGATTGAATCCGAATTAAGAGACTTTTCTTCTAGAGTAAATATCATTTTTGGTCCTCAGCAAATTTCACGATGCCCGCTTTAGTCCCTAGCAAATAAAAAAGCCCATCGTGATCCCTAAGAAATTCAAAATGGACCCATTTAGTTGAAATCGTGGTCCCTCACAAATTCAAAAAAGACCCATATTAGTCCTCAAAAGGACTAAAATGGGTCCATTTTAAATTTTTTAAAGACCACGATGGGCTTTTTTATTTGCTAGGGACTAAAACGGGCATCGTGAAATTTGCTGAAAATCAAAAAAGATATTTACTCTTTCTTCTATGCTACCATAATTCATACAATCATACATTATTGATCTTGAAGCAGCTAAATTTTATCATTATGCTCTTAACAAATAGAGTAAAGACCCTTATTGATCCCTAACAAAAAACACGGTCCCCACTTTAGTCCCTTACAAAAATAAATTAGTCAGTTAGTCCCTAACAAATTCAAGGTGGACCTATTTTAGTCCTTTTGAGGGACTAATATGGGTCTTTTTTGAATTTGTGAGGGACCACGATTTCAACTAGATGGGTCCACTTTGAATTTGTTAGGGACTAACTGACTAATTTATTTTTGTAAGGGACTAAAATGGGGACCGTGTTTTTTGTTAGAGACTAAAAAAGGTATTTACTCTAACAAATAAAATAACATAGGGTACAGATTGCTTCAGTTTGCCTTGTTAAAAGGTATCTCTTGACATTTCTTGCCAGCTAAGGAAGGAGAATATCTTTGGCATATCAGATATACCGAACTCGATACATCTTTTTTCCAAATTTGGAAAAAAATTTACCACTTTTGAATTTTTTGTTTCCCGCCACATTACAAATTTTTCGAAATTCGAAACAAAGATGTATCGAGTACAGTATATCCAATGTACCAAAGATATTCTCGTAAGGAAGACCCATATCTCTACCTTTAATATATACAATGGAAGACCGTTATAATCTGTATTAACAAATTTAGGGTTATGTTCAGGCCAAAGAGTTTTCCATACAACAAAGAAACCAAAAAAACTTTCATGTTAATGGTTTTCAGACTTTAAAACTCTTGGATGCTTCCAAACTTTGGGATGATTCAAAACGAGCTGTGAACCCAACTGTTGTGTGTCTTATTGATCTTTGCCTCACAACATTAACATATTCTGGGTCAGTTGCTTGCCCATCATTTTGTATCCAATGTATCATTTGATGGAACATAGGGAAGAACCGCATTTGGATTGAAGCATAGGCAAAATATGGAAGGAGTGAAGCAACAAGCACAAGCAAAGTGATGAGCCAATAAGATGGTGCTGGTGCACAAGCTTCAATTAAGACCTTATAGGCAGTGGTTGATAAGGAGGGGTCCATGGTTCCATAAGCTAGGAGGAATGTATACCAAAAAAGAATGCCACCCCAGATGAATATATGTTGTATGTAAGTGAAGTAACTAATAGATAATGCCATTTGGCAATTCACGACCCACACAACACATGTGTATAAGGTGGCACCAAGAACTTCCTGTCCCACAACTTCCCCTCCTTTGCGGAATGCTTGATGTTCCATTGCATTGATGGAGAAGAAGAATATTATGGTAGCACTCAAGACTCCATTGAATGACCAGCCAAGAATCCTTTTCCAGCTAAATAGGACATTTTGTACACCTTCTTGATATAATAATGGGAACTGAAAAAATGAATACAGAATGAAAGACGTCATGAGATGAAGATTATTGTGTAGTTTATATATCAGAGGAATCAAAAATTCTAACAGAATGGCATTGAAAAGTGATTAGAACCTTGGGATCTGAACATTCCACCACGCTCCGCAGCCCCGGCGCCCACGAGTGCTGGCTTTGTGCTAGTCTTTTACTAGCCCCGGGCAAACAGTGCAATGCCAGCGTCACCACCCACGCCGCTCGATTGCAACGGGGAGACATAGTGAAAGGCTCTGATACCATTTGATAAGAACCTTGAGATGCACCACCCCAAAAACTAACTCAAATAGTGGGAGTGCCCAAGGCCTTATAAAGGCCAAATTAGTTGCCATAGAACCAATGTGGGACTTCAAGTCCCATACCTTGCAAATGGGATCGTAACATTCCACCACGCTCCGCAGCCCCAGCGCCCTGCGGGCTAGCTTTGCGCTAGTCTTTTACTAGCCCCGAGCGAACACTACAATGCCGGCGTCACCACCCGCGTCGCTCGATTGCAACCGGGAGACATAGTGGAAGTATCTGATACCATTTGATAAGAATCTTGAGATGCATCACCCCCCAAAAGGTGCGAGTGCCCAAGGCCTTATAAAGGCCACATTAGTTGCCCATATAACCAATGTGAGAACTTTAAGTCCCATATCTTGCAAATGGGATCGTAGCATTCCACCACGCTCCGCAGCCCAGGCGCCCACGCGAGCTGGCTTTGCGCTAGTCTTTTACTAGTCCCGGGCGAACATTGCAATGCCGGTGTCACCACCCACGCCGCTCGATTGCAATTGGGAGACATAGTGGAAGGCTCTGATACCATTTGATAAGAACCTTGGGATGCACCATCCCAAAAGCTAGCTCAAAGGTGGGAGTGCCCAAGGCCTTATAAACCCCATATTAGTTGCCCATACAACCAATGTGGGACTCCAAGTCCCATACCAAAAAGAAATTGAGTTTGAAGGGTTACCTTGAGACAGAATCTAGCAGAGACATCCTGGTCAAACACTCCCAAGGCAATTACAGGAAGGGAAGTGAAGAATACGTTATATAGTGACAGGAACCAATCATTGTATGCAGCTTGCCCCGAGAATGAGGCATAGATCTCATAGAAGAATAGTGTGAAGCCAAAGGCAATATTCTTGTAAAAGAAGTAGCAGATCTGCAAAACAAAAAAGGTGGTCCACATAGCTTTATTAATTGAAGGAATGCGCAGTTCGAGTAACAAAGAGAAGAAGAATCACATAGTGTTGTTTATGAAGTTCAGTGTTTCCATGCAACACTTAAGCTTCACAAAATATTCATTACAGCTAAATAAACTATGTTTGAAGAATTGATGTCAACGTGGGCTTTGTAGTAATCGAATTAAAGCATTGAAATAAGTACAGATTCTGTATGAATATATTAAATGGAGAAGCCTATGTTTTAATGTAATATTTGTTAGGTCAAGTTGTTACCATTGATGTGATTCTTCTGTAACACCAATGTCCATGCACAAGAAGTAAACGCTCTAGAAATCGGAATTGGGCAATTGCGACATCACTTGACATAACTGCCTGAAAATTTTAGTGAAGCAGTTGAGAACTAATAATTTAGGATCTAAAAAGAACAAAAACAGAAAAATAAAAAATAAGAATAAATGTCGTGGTAATTGTAAGGTAAAAGGTAACAAAAACCAAAAGAAAATTTGTTGTAAGCATGATATTTCAGATTTACCTGCATTCCTTCTACACCACTTATACCAATCCCAATGTCTGCTTCTTGGAGCATTCCAACATCATTTGCTCCATCACCAATTGCTAGAGTTGTACAACCAGTTTTAATCTTTACTAGTCTAGTAACCTGCATTATTATAATAGAAACACCTTTAAAAACTGAACATGTTGAAATCACCATAGAAGGAGACTAGCATTGACCCTTTTACCATATTATTTTGCAATAAATGTCTCTGCCACATTGGCCATAAGCTTCAAGATAGAATAAAATTCTATTGCTTTATTTCAAGTAAGAAAGTACTATTGGGTCTAAGTAATAAGAGAGAAAACATCTGCAACTTAAACTTATAAAGAAAAAAAGAGAAACTACAGAGACTAATTATAGAGTCACAAGGAAAACTTACAAGTGCTTTCTGCTTGGGAGATGAACGGCAGCATATAACAGATGCACAGCCAACAGCAAGTGCAAGAAACAAGTCCTTGACATCATCTTCTAGTGCATAAGAGAGAGACTTTCCATCAATGATAAGAGCTAATGCCTCGGAGTTTTCATCAGATGCAGCAAGTAATGCCTTTCCTTCCCTTAATTGTCGAAGAACACTTTCCTTAATTGCCTAAAGAATCAGTAAGCTTACATCAAAATCATATATCCAATAACCTGAACTTCAATGGGTAAAACATTACTAAAGGGTTTACCGCTGCAGCAGCAGACTTGTCCTCCACTTTCTCCAGTGATTTGGTTTCTGGCGTGTCTGAACTAATTATAATTTGCTCCATTCCTTGTCTGAGTAAACTACAAGCAAAACTGCAGTCACACAGAAATTTTCAAATCAGTGACATGACATCATATTATGATCACAAAGGATTTCAAAATCTATTGATATACTTTGAACTTACCCAATATTAATTGCTGTCTCCATTTTATCACCTGTCAAAACCCATAGCTTAATTCCTGCCTGTGCTAACTTGTCAATGCACTCAGGAACCTATATGACACAAAGGGATTCATAAGAACACAACATAAAGAACTGTTGCCAGTTATTATCACATCATAGGATATGGCTAATTTCAAAGTACACAAATATTAACTGCTCTAGCTCTGCTAATTAGTCAAACAAGTTAAAAAAAGAAAGAAAAAAACACTATTTATAACATACCCCATTTTGAAGTTTATCTTCAACTGCAGTAGCACCAAGAAGAATTAAATCCTTCTCAATCTTTTCTGATATTTCCTCTACAATTTGCTCTCGGTCTGCACTCACTATGTTCTTGGCCTCCATAAACTCTTTATTAAATAGATTGTACTCTTCCTCATCAAGTTCGCGATATGCAAGTACCAAGGTCCTCAAGCCAGCATCAGCATATTCATTGATGTGCTGCATAGTCTTCTCTTCAAACTCCCTTCCATTCTTTTCAAGTCGTTCAAACATGACACTGATTGTGAACGCCACAAAGAAAAGTAATTTAATGTTTTGAACATTTGAAACCGATTGGAAATGATAACTCGTATATTTAAGATAGCCATGCAGAGATTAAGGGACTTAATGGAACAAAGCCAAATATTAAGATGAACTGATATTCCTTAGCAATGATTGGACATTGTGTATCTCCAAAGTTAATGTAAAAAAACACTGGCTGTTTGTTTCACAAATGAAACTAGCCATATCAAATATAGGGTGTGGACAAGGAAGTATTTAGTGACAAATTTCTGTCTCAATTCTGTTAGTTCACTCTACCCAACCACCATAAGGGGAAAGGGAAAACCCTATGGTACACTAGGCTCTTTGACTTTGTGAGGATAGGGGTGAGGGTTTATTATATGCAACCTTACCTTTGCATTTTCTGTAAAGAGACTGTGACCTCCCGGTGTTCAAGGTCTTTCCTAAACCCAAACTAGATCCCTGACCTTCTGGTCACAAAAAAGCAACCTTACCACTGCTACAACACCAAAAAGAGATGGGGAAATTAATAAATGCTGCCTTACGAATTAATAAACCTCTTTTGATCCAAAAAGTAGGCAACCATATACCAGGAGTGAATTTTTCCCTAGAAAAATGTCTATACTGTGCCATATTTAATCTTTCAAGTATAGGATTTCAAAATATTGAACAAGATTACAAACCTGTCAGCACCTTTGCTAAGTAGTAGTAGTTTCCCTTCCTCATCTCTTACAACTACAGACATCCGCTTTCTTGCACTACTAAAATCTAATATATTTAAAAGTTTGTAGGACCTGCAAAAGTGAAATTAAACTCTTATTTTAATGCACAACTCAAGTTTCAAATGGCACATAAATGTAAAATATAGAACATCAAGTTTACACATACAAGAACAACAAAAACCTGACCTTCTAGTTGTCTTGCCTGATGTGGAATTGAATTCGCGAAGCGAAATAGTTGTCTGTGTCCTTTCATAAAACTCAAATCCAAGTTCTCTGGCTGCAATCACAAAAGCTGCCTCATCAGGGGACTCAGCTTCATAAGAAACTTTGCCAGTTTCTTCTTCAATTTCAGGTATTGCAGTATGACATACTGCCAACAACCGCAGGAAGTTCTGGATTACATTGGCATGAGGTTCTTTGACCCAATTTCCATTCATGATCCTTTCATCCATGAAGTTAAAACCTTTAACAGATGACTTTGCTTCAAAAATCTCAGCAACATTGTCATCTTCTGTCAGCTCTTGTCCTAAAGGTAATCCTTTTCTCCTGGCTAGAGCTCTCTCAACTTCTGTAACTCCTCGTCCGTAGGGAATGCCAGCAATAGAACACTTGACAAATTCCATAGAATTGCAAGTCAAAGTTCCTGTTTTATCTGAAAGTATAGTATCAACTTGGCCAAGTTCTTCATTCAAATTTGAGGTACGAGCATGTGCTGGCTGGTCAGTTTCCCCATAATACATGTGAACATCCTGGTTGATGAAAATGCTTTGAAGAACTTTCACAATTTCAATGGAGACATACAATGATATCGGAATCAAGTAACTATACAACATAAGTGCAGTCAAGAAATGCAGAATGGCTGCAACTGGTGCTTTCTTTGGATCATAGTAAATTGTGGTATCATCTGGTCTAAGGTACCATCTCTTCATTACACCATTTTCAAGGTCCTCTCTTGTTGCAATCCCAAAGAAAATAGAACCAATAAAAGAAATAAAAAATAAGACAAAGAACAGAAAGTAGACGATCTTATCCATCCGTTTCTCAACTTTGCTTCTCTTTGATGGAGGCTCTGTAGAATTCTGCATAACCTTTGTATCATGGCCTGTAAAGATTACCACAGCATAGATAAAATCTGTGTTCTTCAGCTTTGAGTCCCTAAGCAGTAGCTGCTGAGGTGCAAGAGGATACAGTTGATCTTGGAGATCAAGGCTGCCTATAAATGAGTACAAATTTGCATTTGGATCTTCACATTTGATGATAGCCTGAAAATTTTGGAAGCTTGAGTCTTCTTGCAACTTTGAAGTTTCTTCCAGTGCTTGTTTCAGCTTAAGATTTGTTTCTCCATCAAGATTCAAGGTCTCAACGTAGCAAATTGCATCGTCATAGCTTGATGAAAGTAAGATGAGATCAGCAGGGAAAAATTCATCTTTTTCAACCTTTACTATGTCTCCAACTTTCAAATCTTTCCATTTAGAATACTCAAAAACACCTTCTCCACGATGCATTTTAACCTTTCTGTTATTCATCTCGATATCCTGATGCAATTACAAGACTATATTTCAGACCTAAGAATAATCAAGAGTAGCAGAAAAAAAAGCAACCAAGTAAAGATTTTAAGGAAAGGAAATGTTAACTAACACCAATGTAACCCTATTAGTACTTCTCTGTCAAAGAATATTAGCATATGCTAAGATAAAAAAAAAAAAAATTAATCACTACCCCTATATTGCAAAGAGGATGTTTCCCGAATTTGAACCTCTAACTTTGCAATCACAAAGGAGCAGACATATTTCAAAAAATACATATATCTGGGCTGTGAGCATATACAATAATACATATATATTTGAAAATACAAGAGAATAAAAAACTATCAGTATCGTGCATTCATTCACTCAAATGTGGACATTCCTAAAATAACTCAAAGCATGAGTTTAGTGCAGAAGCCACTTTTCCTCTCACAATTTCCTTACCATAGTAACTGTGGGCTAACTGCAAAAGTATGTATATTAAAAAACTTTCTACGGACAATATTCAATTTGCATAAAGTTTAGAGAACAGAAACATCATCTTAACCACAAATTTGAAGCAAAAGCAGATACAATCATGACCTGCTTTTTCCTCCTCCAATCCTCAACTGCCTCTTTCCCCATTGTAGCAGCAACCACAACCACAAGAGGAACTACATTGCTGATGGCTGAATAAGGAGATACTGGAAAGAACGACAAGATTCCACAAACAAGGAAGTAAAAATTGGCAACTCTCCTGAATTGCTCAAACAAGGACTTGGGTAGGAAAGTAGCAAGTGTATATTTAGTAGTTCTGACATAATTGTCACCATAATTAAGAAGAATCCCTTCAGCATGTTCTGGTTCGTTGCAGTACACTATCCTTGAGAAGCCAGGGCCTCCTATTAGTGAATGTTCACCTTTGAAAGATGCTTTCCCACATGAGAATGCATGGATTCTGCTGAAGTGGTGCTTCCTTTTATGACCACCCATCTTCTTCAATTATTATAGGTTCCAAAAGCTTACAAGTTACACTACAACCTTGTTTGATTCAGCTTTTAAATAAGCTCCAAAGACTCAAGAATCCTCAAAAACCAGATTTGCAAAGATCAACAAAGTCACTGCAGATATTCAGGCCAAAACTACTTAGACAAAGAAACATGGCATAAAAGCAAAAAATAAGTAAATAAAAAAATAAACAAAGCAATTTCAGTTGGAAATAAGTGATTGTATAAAGTGAAAAATATTGAGCTCTTGAACCAATAATGCACCTGTCAAATAATGATAGACCCAGAAAAAGACAGCTTCAAATCCTTGTCAAGATTTCGAAGCTAGAATATATCTCTGTTCAGTGTTCACTGTTCAGAGTTCAAAGGCAGAACTTTTCAATGAAAGTTAACTGAAACAGCAGGGAAGTGTTACTTCTTTCATTGGGTTAGAAGCTTGAAATTAAACTGGCATCTCAGTTTGACTCGTAGCTAAGAAGATAGAAAAAACCTTTAAACGTGCACATGGTACTATTGGGTCTTCCCTTCTAAAAGAGTTCAAACACTTAACAACTTTAATAAAGATATTATTATGTACCAAAACAATATAAATAAATTAAGATATTATTATCATCTATTTGTATTTAGTATTTCACATTAGAATAAATATATGAAAGCGTGAAAAAATTGGAAAATAAAAATGGCTGACAAATTCATTTACAAAACTAATTCTTATGTCGCTGGCAAGTTGAAGCATACCAAAACTTTCTAAACCAAACTAAATTCCAACCATAAAGTTCGTTAGACCACCATCTAGCACTCTGCATTTAATGGGAAAATAACTAAGGCTTCTAGAAATTTTATCTAGAAGACAAAATTTGACATCAAAAGTACTTCAAGAAAATCTGTAAAAGTAAAAAGTGGTTTTTCTTGTTCTACATTTTCTTTTTCTTTTATTAATGGTTTACCCCCAAAAAATATATATTAAGGGAGCGTTTGGTACAAGAATTTTGGTCGGATTTTCGGGAAACGGAATTTTTCTAAATTTTAAATTTTCGGATATTATCGTAAACTGAATATAAAAATTATATTTTTGAAAATCGAGATTCTCCGACAAAATTTTTTTTTTTTCCTCTACCGAACGACCCCCTAAGGGAATCAGAATTAGTCAAATTACTGTAAAAGCGTATGGATATTGTATTTAAATGAAGGGTTCACTTTTTCCTAAGTTACTGCAGATAAGTTATCTGCAGTAAGCCAATACGACGTCGTTTTGGGACGGAAATCATGGTATTTTTGTAATTTTAATTTATTTTAGGGTTATAATAGTCTTTATATTTATAATTTTTTAAGATTTCAATACCAAAACGATGTCGTTTTGAGAATAAATGCAGATAACTTCTCTGCATTAACTGTGGAAACATTTTCCCCTTAAATGAATCATTAAATATTTATTCGATATTAATTTTATAATAAAATTCTAATTTTTTATGAAAAATAATTAGTATTCAATCAAATGTTCAGGGGGGGGGAACTCGCGGATGAATGACCGTTTAATGCTAACTATAAAAATTAATTACCCAAATAATTCAGTTTCAAAACAATATATTAAATTAATGCAATTGGTCCGACATGGGGTACAAATGAGTCGCGCCAAATCAGAATTTAGCTTAAATGGACTAAGCTGATTTAAATTATTTCAAGTCTAGTTTGGCTCGTTCGCCTGATGTAAACAAAATTGTAAGCTTGATCTGGCTTATAAAGCTTGTCAAACTTTCAAAAATAACATGTTGCATTCCATAAAATATAGATTATATGATAATTTTATTTCTTTTACATGTTTAACTTAATGGAAAGTCAAAATAGTATAATAGTGGGGATGCCTTTAATGGAAATTTTGGAAAGAGGAAAAATTTGTCAAAGGGACAAAAAAAATATATGAAGAATAAGGACTTACTATCAGTTTTGTAGATTTCCACCAACCAATTTATATGAGAATTTCCTAACAAAAAATAATCAAATAAATAAAGAGAAAAAATAAAAAAAAAATCACATAAATAAACACATGTCCAACATATGTATACAACACCTATAAATCAAATACTATGTTACTTTTATAATGAAAATTTTGAAAAGATGCAATTTTGTCAATGGGACGAAAAAATAGCAAAAAGTACAAAGAATAATGACTTATACTATTAGCTGCAAAAATCTTGAGAGATAATGGTGAGCGATGGACAGTCTATAAGGGATGAGAAGTTGAGAAAGAGTAGTAAAATATGGCGGAGGATAGGAGTGCTAAACGAACCAAGAGCCTTTGGTTCGGCTTGTGAAAATCTGGGCTTACGTGTCTAAAATTGGTTGTTTTGTTCAGACTTTGACTTGTATAAAAGCTCGTTTAATAAAAAGACTTCAGGCTTCAATTCAAAAGCCTGGACTTCAAGTATACTAACTTTTATTTTTATTTTATATTTTTTATACTACTCATAATAGCATTCTCTCTCTCTTCAACCCATTTCATCTCATTTTATTGGTTAAACAGACTTTTTGAATGATTTTATTCTATATTATGTTGTTTGGATATACATTGAATTTATGATTCTTTGTGAAATTATTAGTGCTTTTGATCGTATATTCTGTTTGGATAAAAAAAATTGTCTTATTTATTTTTTAACAGGCTAAACCAAGATTTTATTTTTTTGTAAATAAGTCAGGCCACGGGCTGATAATTATATCCATAACAGGTAACAAGCTAGGTCAGACTGTCACATTTAAACACACGCATAGCTTTTTAAGACCAAAGTTCGGCTGGCTTGGCCCGTTAACACCCCTAGTGGAGGAGGAAAAAGCGATGGTGAGACAAAGGATTTAGGTTTAAGAACATATGTGATTGCCAAGTAAGAAAATGAAAGATTGCAGAAAATTAAAAAAAAAATCATAAAATATTATTCTATTGAAAAATAATGTAACATTCTCTATAATTGGCTAGCAAAGAAAATATCACATAAATTCTTAAATCTTATTTTAAATTAAAGAGTATAAGATTCTCACGTAATTGATATAAAATAAAGCATATGATAAAGTATTCTTAAAATTTAATTATACAGAAGTCAAGTTCACTATTACATCTGAAATACATCATAATCTAAAATAATAATAAAAATATTTTTTTATTCTATCAGTTGCTCCACTGAACTCCGTACAGTCTTCAAAGTCTTTAACCATAGAGTTTTATCATACTCCAATGATACACATACTGGCATGCTTATTATCCGAAAATGTTAGCATAGAAACAAAAAAACGTGAGATAAATCTAAGTAATATTGGGGTTTTTGAACTATAACCAATCGAGTCACTTTAGTGAAAAATATCATTCTCTAAAACATATTGATAATAAGAAAATAATATCATGAATAATATATATGAGCTTAGACCTTTGTGGGTTCTTTATTCAAACATACTCAAACCTTTGTGGGTTCTACGCAAACCTTTATCGGTTCTACGCAAACCTTTATCGGTTCTACATACAAACATATAAACAAATGTGTAGCCTTTTTTTTGGTAAACAAACGTGTAGCCTTTAACTGAAATGATTAATGCTCAAATTCTGTGAGCGCTCAAATTTTGTGGGTTCTGTATGTGAAAGATTCTATATGGCGGAGCTCAAACCATAATAAGGCGTCCTTACCTTATAACCATCTGATCCCTTTATGGATCACTCATATCAGAATTATTCAGTAAAAGATTAAATATTCCATTAATATCCATTTGGTACTAAAAGAATTCTTTAGTTCTATAGTCTTAATTCAAGATCATTCCTATAATTAATTTAAATAAATTCATTAAATCTACAAAGTCAAAGAAAACAGATAAACCAAAAGAATAGAAAAGATTCATGATTGGACAGAGTAACGACATCTTCACAGCTTTTAAAGAAATAATTTTTAAATATCAATTTTAAATATAAAATAGATAAAGAAGAATTAAAATAGGAGAATGGAGTTTTCTCCCAATATTACATTCCTTCTTATTTCTCCCACTTCTTTTTCTCTTTCTCTTTTCCTTCTCCTTTTTTCTCAGGTTCCTTTCTTTGTTCTCTCTGTTTTCCTTTCTCTTTCTTTTCTCTCGGTTCTGTCTCTTTCTCACCGCTTTTCTTTCTTCTTTCTCTCTCTATTTCTATCTTACGGTTTCTTTCTTTCTTTTCTGTTTCTTTTTTTTTCTTCATCAGGGTATATATAGATATATAAAAGTCACGTGTTAATTTCTTTTAAATTATCTAACTCAATCTTATCTGAATCTAACAAAAATCAAAGACTTTTATCCTCACTGGTTGCCTCTATATGTCCCATCTGTTATTTTATTTTTTTACATGGCACTAACAACGCCCACACACCCACACAATGGTGCTAACAATGCCATCTTGGCGCTTTAGGCACCACCTACTTCCTTTCTTTTTTTCTAACTGGCGTTAGGCGCCATCAATGGCGCCACCAATTTTCATTGGCTATATATATTTTTTCTGGATATTATATTTTCTCTCTCCTAAAAAATATTTTGTCTCCAAAATTTCGACATACCTTCTAAAAAATATATTTCTAAATAACTTTACTCAATTGCCTAAAATCCACCATGCTTCCGCTACATATAAATTTCCTATAATTTACATAATGGGCAAATAACTAATTTTATGCTAAAAATTATGGGTAATATTTTCCTCCTTTCACATGACACAACCAATTTTCCTACAGACACATAAAAGTGGGCTCATCAATTTTTTTACTTTTCTTTTATTTTAAAAATAGTGGCCCCTACAATTGATTGTCTCTATGACATGACCTAAGAATTTTCCTACAACATAATACTTATTTTTCCCAAAAATTATATCTATATCAATCATAGGTAAATAAACTAAATCTATCTCAAATAACTTTTCTTTGATTTGAAGAGAAAATTTCTACAAACTTGAAATGGGGTTATCCTTTTCCTTATGAGAATGAAAAATTCAAG